CAATCTTATCAAAATCTTTTTTTTTTTTTTTTACATGCCACTAGAAAATGCATCTCCTCAAACCTGTGATCTGAGCTGTTGTTTGTCATATTAAATTTGAATGTATGTCATATAGTCACTGTGATGATGCACGTCTGATTCATGAGGGTTGTCTAATGTTTTCAACACACAGTGTGTCCGACCCAATCAAACCCATCATCCGGACAGCACCTCCCAACATGGCATGTGATGGAGCGCAGAGAATGATGGGACGGATCTCAATGTGATTTTTACCTGAGTTTAAACCGCGAAGCGAGGCCGCAGGCGGACACCGTGCAACAAAGTGTGAAAACAAAACCTTTAGTACTTTTTCTGTGTTTTTCTCTTTCTGCACCATCGTCAGAAGGTAGGAAACCTGGACAGTCGTCAACCCGTGGAGTACAGCTCATTTCCCAAAATGTACATAACACAGCAATACACGGTTTTAAATTCAAACAAGCTTTTTTCTTTATATATAGATTCATATATAGATATATTGATAGAGAGAGAGCTTATTCATACTGTGGATGTTGAAAGAGAACACGACACATAATTTAATGTTAAACATACGATCAGTTTCAAATGCATGCCCTGACACTATTAAGACCTTCCTGAAAAGGTCAGTCATCTTTCTCCTTGTAAATCGGCGGTGTTTTCGAAGGCGACACTTCGCTTTGCGCTGTCTGATTATAGTGCTCATACAAAAGCCACTTTGCTTAAATTTTAAGCACACACGAAAGCTGCGTTTGAAAACAGCTGTGCAGTTGCTCGGGATCAACGCGGAATCAAATCAGATGGAAAAGTACCTGCGAACGCATCTACATCCTACACTAAAAAAGCAAAATGGGAATTTCTGGAATGTGACTGAACTAATCAATAGGCAAAATTTAATAAATACGATTTCCGTATGAGACTCTCACTCATTTATCAAGATAACAGTGAAGCCATTAGAATTTTTTATTTGCATATTCTAAGGTCCTTTTCCCAAAACGCATCCTTCAGACGCCGTTCCCACCCAGACACCGAAGCGTGGCATTGCCACATACTCGAACCCCTCGGCTGCGTTTACATTTGCGATTCTCGTTCGGGCCACAGTTGCTATGCCATGCAGATAGTAAAGATTCAGCACAAAGGTGGGGTCCATCAGAGAGAGAAGAGGAAGTTTGGGGCGGGGAACGAACGGTCCTCTACATGGGTGCGGAGCGGCGCGACCGAGACCAGCTCTGCCGCGTTTAGCTGACTTCAAAGTTCTGAGGCTGGGAGGCCGATTCTGAGGGCGCCTCCTGCTGTTGGGAGGGAGATTCGGGAGGGTCGTCTGTGCTCGTGCTGGTGGAGACCTGAGTGGGCATGTGATGGTGTGGGGCGAGGGGGTGTGAGCCGCTGCTGGGGCCGGCTTGGCTTTCCTCTTTCTGCTGGAGAAGGGATCCCGGGAGCTTGACAGGGCAGAACGCAGAGCCGGTGGGGATAAAGTTGACCTTGTTTTTGTCAGGGCAGGAGAAAAGGGGGACGGTGGCTGACTGTCTGGACCTGAGAAAGAGAGGAAAGCGATTTAGGAGAAAGTTCCAAATGGGACACTAATGTACACAGTATGTACCACAGCTCAGCATTAAAGGGGACATCGGATGCCCACAAGTTGGTATGATTCTTTAGGGTCTTCATGAAATGTCTGTAACATACTTTGGTTAAAATTACTCAATGGTTGTGTAAAACAACACCCTTTTTACCTTGTCAAAAACAGTTCTGCTCACAGCGACCCGTTTCGGTGCATGTCTCTTTAAATGATAATGAGCTGCTGCTAACCCCGCCCCTCTCTTCTGTGGGGCGTGTCGACACAAGACACGTGAATTGATGCCTTGGACTCTGTATATGGTTCGGAGGTGGTCTTATTTAAATAGCTAGCTATCTATGTATGAACCGGCTGCAAATTGAAACATCTCACTGGATGACAGAGTTTCAGACTCAGACAGCCCATAACAAACTGGCTGTGTGTTTTCTTTTCAGCTTTTCTGAGCCGGCAGACACGTCAGAAACCTAACTAAAGCTAAAAAAAATTTCATCTGATGTCCCCTTTAAAATGACCTGACGCCCCAGGGCCAGTGGGACAGTTTCAGGCCTGTCACAGGAACTATCCTTTGCCCTATTAAACCATTGTTGAGTTCTCACAATATCTGATGATCCAATATAAGCGGTTTTGTGCTTGCCAAATTTTGATATTTGTGTTTTATTGAACACTGTTGCTGTGTATTATTTAACTCACTGGTGGTCCTAACTTTTGGGTCACACTTGTACACTTAGGTGGTCAAAAAGATGCCTGTATAGCTCTCTGTATAAACATATATACGTTTACACAGGGCTGTGTGTGTCTGTTTTGCACTCTTGATATTTTATTGTTTAAACCCTTGATTGTTGTGTGCCTTTTCTGTACCTGATTTGTGATCTGATTTTTTTTTGGTGTGTATTTCCCATTCATTTCCAATGGTGATCATTTCTGACCATGTATAGTAAAATGTGACTATTTTTTAAAGACCATTTAGCCTTTTCAAATAATTTCCATTTTTTTCTGTGTTCACATAGCAAGCATGTCATAGCTAAAGTGTCAGAGGAGCAATAGAGGGTTAATATAATTGTGATTAATATAATTAAAAGTTTTTTTTTAAACTTAATTATTTGTTTTACTTACTTTAATGTCTTATATATACAGGGCCCATGAAAATGTAACCAGGGCAAATAAAGTATTGAACCACTGGCATGATGGTGTAGTGTGAAGTATATATACATACATAAGGGGTGTGTGTGTATTTGCCACCCTTAATTTTTTTATTTAAACAGCATATTTTATGTGCCATATATTCTCAAAAAATGTGCAACAATAAACATGCTTCACTGATGTTTACATCAGCGTGTTCTGTTCACATACCAGAAACAAATATGGATTCATTTTTCACATTTTAAATCCAATTCCATGTAAAAATGTTGTTTTGACAATTCATGACATGATGATTGATATTCTGGTTTATACATCACTCTCGAAGTAGCAGGTCATCAGAGTATTCAACGCATACCCAACATTTGCATGCTGCGCACATTACACATCCTGCATGCTAACAGTAGCAGAATGGCAGTGTGCTATTTTAGGCTCACTAGAGAAATCAAACTCTACTCACGTCATTTCCTCAAACACTCTGATCTTCTCACAGCCCTCTGGAGGCTCCCGTTTGAACATGTAGCTGTTGTTGGGTTTTGGGGACGAGGCGAATTTAGGCAGAGGAGAACTGCTGCCGCTGTCTGCAGGACAGAATTACAAACATCCAATAACTCTCTGGATTAATATCAGACACCTCTCATGATATAATACTGCAAACTATATACTGTACATATGATATGAACTTGTAATTGCTTCTTGGCCAACAATCTGGCTTGACCACCAGTGTGCAGGTCTGACCTTTGTCTCTGTCGTCCAGCATCTCGTCGGTGGAGTAAGGGCTGCCGTCATGTGAGCGGGGCGGGCAAGCGGGCGAGGGGCAGGGCGACAGGCTCGAGCAGCTACTGGAGCGTCCAGGCACTGATGGCGTCTGAGTGTCTATACCACGACTGCTGCTGCTGCGCTGCTGAGGAGGAAACGGAGCCCGTCGCCCGTCAGGAACTTCCAGCGCCTGAGAGCCAGTCAGAGAGAGACTTTGAACAATCAAGCTTTATGGACAACAGTAGAATAAAATACAGCACAAAATCTGAAGTCTGTACACGTTTCAATATAGTTAGACTACTGATCAAAAGTTTGGGGTCAGTGCATTAAACTGATCAAAAGTAACAGTAAAGACACTTATGTTTGAAAATATTTCTATTTCAAATAAATGCTGTTTGTTTGAACTTTCTATTCATCAAAGAATCTAGAAAAAAAAATCTATCACAGTTTCCACAAAAATATGAATCAGCACAATTGTTTTCAACATTGATAATAATAATAAGAAATGTTTCTTGAGCAGCAAATCAGCATATTAGAATGATTTCTGAAGGATCATGTGACACTGAAGACTGGAGTAATGATGCTGAAAATTCAGCTTTGAATCACAGGAATAAATCACATTTGACAATATATTACAATAGAAAACAGTGATTTTAAATTGTAATAATATTTCACAATATTACAGTTTTTACTGTATTTTTGATCAATTAAATGGAGCATTGAAGAGACTATCAAAAAAAAAAATCTTATGATTAAATATTTGAGATTAGTTTTTTTGACAAAAATAAATTTTTACAGGTACTGCACACAGTATAATAATATAAAACATCTGTAATTTTTTCCCCCACTCAATGACATGCATTTTTTTTTTCATGCTAAACATTTGTACTTGGTGTGATTATGTCTTTAGGAGTGTGTGTGTACCTTGAGCTCCTCTTTCTCTCCGTTGTCTTTGATGAAGACTTTCTCCAGCTCATGGTTGATGCCCTCCATGCTGCTGGGAACCCTGGAGATGGAGGGCTTTGGCACTGTGATGTTGGACAGTGGCATCTGTGCTGACTTCGACATGGATGACTGAACATGGAGACAACATAAATTTACATTGAATAACTGCACAGAATTAGCTGGATGTATTTAGTGCATACACTGATGTAATGTGTGTGAGTGTGCGGACCGGAGCTGTGCTGATGGTAGTGGCAGTAATGGTGGTGGTGCTGCTGCAGCAGGGGAGGGGGGAAAGATGCTCTTTACTGTCCTTACACTGCCGGCCTCCGCTCTGCTTACTGCGCTGCAGCTGGAGCCTGAGCTTAGCAATCTGAAAGCCAAAGACAGAGAAACATTAATTATAAAGTGAAGGACAGAGGAGACAACAAAGATATAAATAAAAAAATATATATATATATTATAGTAAAATAAATCCAAATATGCTTGTATAAATGAGACAATGGCTAGGAGAGAGAGAGGTACAGAATTGGAGCTGGGACTCGAACTCAGGTGACCTGAGGTGTTCTAAATGTCAGAGTGCTGCCCATGAGACTATATGACACAGCCAAAATAAAATAAAACAAAAATAAATAAATAAAATAACTGAAAAAAAAAAGAAAATAAGAAAAAAATCGAAAACAAAATAAAATATTAAAACAAAACAAAACATATAAAAGTAATAAATAAAAATAAAAGGCACAGCTTTGTTAAATGCCAGCGTGTTACCCATAATCAATATAATCATATATGGCACCGCCAAAATAATAAAATACATAAAAATAAATAAATAAAATATAAATAAAATACGAAGTAAAAAAATAAAAGAAAAAAAATAACGTAACTTAACAAAAACAAATAAAATAAATAAATAACAAAAACAAAAACAATAACAAAAAAACAAAATAAAAAAATAAAACAAAACATATAAAAATAATAAAACTAAAAGGGGCAGCTTTGCTACATGCCAGTGTTGACTATATAGTGCAGACAAAATAAAATAAATAAAATACATAAATAAAAAAATTAAAAATACTAAATAAAAGAAACAAATAAAGTAACCTAAAAAACAAAATAAAATAAGTAAACAAATAAAAGGGGCAGCTTAAATGTCAAAGTGTTGCCCCTAAGACTATATAGTGCGGACAAAATAGAAAATAAAGAAAATAAATAAATAAAAGAAAAGCGAAGAAACAACAAAAGATAAATAAATAAAAACAGAATAAAAATACAATAAATACAATACAATACCTTGAATTGACCTGAGTGCTTGCTGTAACTCTGCATGGCCACAAGGGGTCAGTACAAAGCAGGCAGCAATGTGAGAAGGCTCACTGGTTAATACAGGCACTGGTTGCCTGATCTATTTCTACAATGGTTACCCAATGTAGAACGAATGACAAGACAAATTCTGTTAAATCTACAACAAAAACTGGATACTGATATTTAACCCTCATTCCCCATGTCTCACTGTGGCCCACTGCCTTTTCCAACTGGCTTGATCTCTCAATGTTTACCTTTGAGATTTATCTGCAGTAAATTACAGCGTTTACTCTCTGTGCATATTAAGACAACGGAGCAAGTCTAGACTTGTGCGTTCCTACTGAAAATACAATTAGCTGATGGCTTTTTCTTCACATGGATGTTTGTCTTGATAATGTTGTAGAGCACTGAACTACCTCAGCCTTTCCCTCCACCTCAGTTTACATTACAGATGCCAATCTAGAAACTGTGAAGACATGCAAATTAGTTGCAAATGACTCGTAGGTCGTTTCCTTCAACCAGACTCCAAAAATCCTGAAACAAATGCTGTGTTTGAAAAGTACAGTGAGGACAGAGAAGTGTTTAGTGGAGATGCCGGCCTTCGCACTAACTGAAATGACACAGTATATGCTCATCCTGAATGTGCTCAGCTAAGTATGTCAATACACACAACCTAAATCCACTTAAGAGGTGTAAGGGCTTATAAGCCACTAAGTGGAAGCACTTGACGTGAACCTGGATAAAAATGTGGATACTGAGGACATGAACTTCCCATATGCAGGGAAGGAAAGCAGGCCTGAACGGCCTTTTCTTGGAAAATCTCCCGAATGGGAAACCGTGAGATGATTCAGGCCTTGCAGAATGAGCTCGCTGTGAGGAGCACTTCTTAGGCTCTATTATGACTCTCTAATATGGACACAATCCTGTGGCTGGAAATTATGAGCAAGCAGGCAAAATGACATTTTCACATAAGAGTTTAGTAAGAAAAAAAATCAAGAATTATAAATAAGGTTGCATACACAAAAAAATGGTTACTTTGGTGTCCCAAGAATTTAAGTTTTAGAGGTACGAAAATCACACTTTTTGTTCTGATACCCATTAGATATGTTTAATAAATAGCATAAAATTAAGATAGCATATAAACTACTTAGTATTAAACACATACAGTGTATCCCGCCTTAAAATGAAGAAGCTGTATGTAATAATTAAAATAAAATAAAAGAATAATGATAAAAAATATTTGAAAAATCAATTGATCTATTGATAGATTGATCTTACTGGCAATACTTTTGGTGATGAAACTGACCGCTCTCTTTTATAATCTATTTGGTTAACATATCAGCTCATTTGATAGTGAAAGCTAAGTATCTATTAAAGACACTATTAGAAGCCAGCAAGAAGGCTGTAATACGAAAATAGACTGAAAATAGTCTACGTTCAAACAAATATTTCCAATACTGGGAAAAATGGATGGTGTTTATGACTTCACGACACTGACCACTGTTTGATCTGACGCATATTTCCCTCAATATAATTTATGGATGGATGCACAGGTGTCCAAACCATTGTTCTATCGAGTTATGTTGTTTTTGCATGTTTATATATTTACACACACACACACACGCACGCACACACACATGTTGTGTATTCATCACGTTATGGGGACATTCCATAGGCGTAATGGTTTTTATACTGTACAAACTGTATGTGCTACTGCCCTACACCAACCCTACCCCTAAACCTACCCCTTACAGGAAACTTTGTGCAATTTTACTTTCTCAAAAAAACTCATTCTGTATGATTTATAAGCTTGTTTTATATATTTACACACACACACACACACGCGCACACACACGCACACACACGCACACACACACACACACACACACACACACAGTCATTTGCCTAATACATGACAATACATTTTTTAGCTTTGAACAAGTTTTTGACAGATTCTTAAAATATTTGTTTTCTCTTTATTATGACAGGTGGTGTAATAAATTTAAATTAAGCACATACAGTTCTTAACAAATTTATTAAACTGTATTTATTAACTGTAATTGGCCATCTGAATAAAACATAATTATAAAATGCTTAACTATTTGTTTCTGCCTTTCTTGTAAAACAGTAAATTCGATAATTAATGGATAACAACAATAAAGATCTTACACATACTGGTGGATTAACCATTACAGATGATTTTTGGTAATCATCAATACTGTTAGTTTAGGGCAGCTGTGGCACAAACCTTACACTGGGTGGTGGTCAAATAAATTTGTTAAGCACTGTGTGTGTGTGTGTGTGTGTGTGGAAAATCTGTTGAATTAACAGATCGGTCTTGACCCTTTTCGGCTGTAACAATTAACATAAAATAATACATATATTAGCAAAATCTTTTAAACTGAAAATCTGTTTTTATATTATATATGATAATCAGCATTTTATTTCATGTATAAAAGAATTGTATATAATACAATAATATACTTTAATGTAAATAAATAAAGTATATTACAATGTATAATTTTTACCACCAAAAAGTAATATTTAAGTTTCAATGTGTTCCACATTTTTGTGAAAGCCTGTTACTGCATGATTTCCCCTCCATTTCAAGAAATTCAACATTCCTCAAAATTGTGACACCCAAAAAATAACATGATTTGGACACATTCTACAGCAAGACAGGAAGTAAATACTCTCATTCTACTTTCTAAATGTTTATGCAAATAGTAGTTTTGACTGTGTTAATCAAACTCAATCATTCAACCCCGTCACCCAAAGTACTATAAGAAAAAAAATAACCAAGCAAACATTATTCTTTAATTTATGGGAAAATAATTACAAACCAACATGTGGTATATACACACACACACACACACACACATTATATATATATATATATATAGTAGCCATTTGACTTTATTTGACTTTTGGTAACAGGGTTTTAAAAATGCCAAAATTATATGCAAGAAAAGCAGCTCATTTATTAATATTTAGTCACATTTCTCAAGGTCGAGCCCAGCATCACTGGTTCTTTTTCTCGGTGAAAACTGATAGAAATAACCTCCGAGCACCTACACTTTTGTTTGAGGGTTTGCACAGGAAACAAATTACTCTGCACCTGCACACCGCTCATGTCAAACCTAACAAGTGCAAGAGGAGACGACCACAACAAGGCCTTTATAAATCAGACAGGCTTGTGCACATCAACGATCAGGCCCTTCCATCAACACATAATGCCTAACTGATAAGAACGTGACTTCAGTGCGAAAGGACACACACGACATGACGTTGCGCAGATTACTTGCTCTGAAAGCCACACGCCTCTATTGTTCCAGAAGCCTGGAGGCGATGGGAAAGCCATAAACTGGGCGGAGGGGGATAACGCTTGTTGCAGAGAGGGGAAGTCGATTATTAAAGGGGGAGATAGTCTTATCTCGCTGTTCCCTGAATCATCAGGGTGGGGCTGAGCGCCTGTGATAAGGCTAAACTCTGCTGCGGCTAGCGCTAGCAATAACACGCCACGCAGCGCAGGAAGTCTGAAGCCACACAGGAAGTTATATATAGCAGCGGGTGCAGGGGAGATGGATGGGTCGCCGTGACTGGCAGCCTCGTGCAGAGCTGGGTTTTATTTTCACCGCCTCCCCCCGTACGAGCGGCTAAAACGTTAGCCACACAGGATGAGATCATTGCAAATGCAGAAGTGCAGCGCTCATCACTTTCAGGACAGTGAGAGCTCTGTTAATAGCTGTTAGTGTGATTGCACTTTCTTGTTCTCCAAACCCAAGGGGAAAAACTACACACTCCGTATAGTGTTTCACTGTTAAAAGGGAGTGTGTTTTCTGCGTGAGTGTGTGCGCACCTCTTTAAGATGGTCAGAGCTGCCCCAGGACGCCGAGCGCTGGTGTGTGCTCCTTTTCTCTTCGCTCTCGTCACTCCAACATCCAGGAGTCTGAAACACAAAATACACGTTTATAGGACTTTCATATGACGCTAATTCTAATTAATATGGACTAGCTTCATATTTTTATAATAAAAAAAAAACTATTAATATCTTATAAATACATATTCGCATATAATATACACTACTCTTCAAAAATTTGGGGACGGCAAGATTTTGTTATGTTTGTAAAGTCTCTTATTCTCACCAAGGCTGCATTTATTTGGTCAAAAATACACTAAAAACAGTAATATTGTGAAATATTAGTACAATTTAAAATAGCTGTTTTCTATTTGAATATTCTTTAAAATGTAATTTATTGCTGTGATCAAAGCTGAATTTATCCAATTTATTTAATGTATCCTTACTGAATAAAAGCATTTCTATAGAAAAAGAAAAAGAAAAAGAAAAAGAAAAAGAAAAAAAAAAAAAAAAATAAAAAAAAAAAAAAAAAAAAAAAAAAAAAAAAAAAAAAAAAAAAAAAATCTTGAACCCCAAACTTCTGAATAGTACTGTACACTTCGGCAGTCCCACAGAAAAGATTTGTCAGATTTAATTAACTTCTAGGGATGATTTTTGTCCCCTAAGTGTAACTAAGTAAACACTGACACACACTGATAAATCACATTTCCATGCATCCTCCTCCTGACCCACTATTTCACACCAAGATCACAAAGGCTGCATTGTTCCTGCAATAAACGGTCACCTACATTCCTTCAAAAACAACACTCTCAGTTACCATAGTAAAGTCTGCAGCACCCAGGTATGTGGTTTGTTTAGGCAGTCCAAAATGCAGCACACACACACTGTATAATGTATAAGCACATACTATATAAGAGCACATGGGAGAGGCCCTGAACACAACCCAGTGTGATTAGCAGCTTATTATTCAAAAGAGGTCTATACTAAATATAAGCTTATGGCCACTTATATTTTCCTATTTTTATTGTAAATGTTGACTACAATTGAGTTTGTGCACATTTTGTGTACGGTTCATGAAGAGAAGCTATAACTCATTTTAGGCAGTTTAAGAGCTAACAGGCTTGAGTGATCAAACTACATTTCCCATCATTCTCTGCGGCAGCATAAGAATGATAAAACACGCATATATCTAATGCACACCCTCAGCTCTTAATTCTGTAGCACTAGCACTAAACCGCTGCCATTGGTGAAAAAGAGAGAAAGAAATAGAAAATTGCTCAATGTGTCGATTTTATTCCAACCAAAGTAGTTTTAAATGTACATAACAACGTAACTGTGACTTACAAAGTTGTAAACAGGGATTATCCTAAATGTTTCTTGAGCAGCAAATGAACGTTATTGTGTCAGATGCAATTGAATAATATTAACAAACGATGAAATAAATAAGAAATAGAATCAAATAAAACAGAAATAATAAAAACATTAAAAGAAGGATGAGTCTCTGTAGCTCTGTTAAACAGCAAGACTTTGTAAGTGATACTTTTGCAGGTTTTTTAAGGGCTCTGTGAGGACCAATAGATGTGGTCAAAGTGTGTATGTGGACCTTGTGAAAAACAAATATATTTTCTACAGAAAGATGAAAACGACTCTTTTAAGCATAGCTCGCCTCTGTGGGACTACTGCTGTGGCCAGAGGCGGATTCAGGCCTGTGAAACCCCTCCGTTCATCAGCCAAACAGACGTCACACTTCAAAGTCTGGCCTTTGGAAACAGATCGACACTTGAAGGCCAAAGGGAACACAGAGCTTTTGAAAGCCTCTCTTTTTCTTTGTTTAAGTTCTTTTAAAAGGACTGACAATGACAATTCTAACACTATTTACTCCCCTCATGTTGTTCAAAGCCCATTTCCCTGTGAAATACAAAACAGTCTATCTATCTATCTATCTATCTATCTGTCTGTCTGTCTGTCTGTCTGTCTGTCTGTCTGTCTGTCTGTCCATCTATCCGTCTATCCGTCTGTCTGTCTATCCGTCTGTCTGTCTGTCTATCTGTATGTCCGTCTATCTATCTATCTATCTATCTATCTATCTATCTATCTATCTATCACACTTCTGCATATTCAAATGCTTGGAGCAACATGGTCAGTTACGAAAAATGGAACCAATGAGTTTTGGAATAATTGATATCAAACCTGAATGATGCATGTTCATGTGACATATGAAACCAGTGTTATTTTAGTATCACTGATATACTAAAACCATATACTTAAAATTTTTTCATACGTGGGGGCAAATGGAAAAATTGGCACAGGACAGAGATGTCTGGAGAAAACTTGTTGGTGGCCTATGCCCCAGTAAGGGTTACGGGCAAAAGTAAAGTAAGTAAGATATACTAACATACTTTTTTGAAATATTTTGAATTAGATCTTATTTTGTTTTTATTTTAATTTTAGTAAAGTTTTAATAATTTTGTTGCGTGATTTTTTTATTAGGTTTTTTTTTTTTTTTAAGTATGTTAAAAAGTATGTTAGTTTTTACAAAGTTTTACAGCTACTTTTATTAAATTTAAGTTAGGTTTATTTTTCAACTTAAACTGAACGAAAATGATAAATTTTGCCTTGGCAACTAGCTGAATATATATAT